AGATAAAGCAAAAGAAAAGTAGGTCCAAACCTAGAAGGGCAGTTTCATACTTCTAGGCGGCCTGCTGGGAGTTTGAGAAGGAGTGGCTGGCTGTTTCTCAGCAGCCGCATGTTTCCTGGCAGAACCAGGCGAACTCGCAACAGTCTTCTTCCGGGCTTTGGAGTACGGCTGTTGGGAGGAGGAAGTTCTTGGTGTGCCTGTCTACAAAAAAAAAAAAAAAAAACAAAATAAAATAAAAAATAAAACACAAATGGTTAGTATATGTATAAACCCAACCTTTTAACATAAAAAGGGGGAAAGGCGAAAGCTGGGAACTTACTAAGGGTGTCTCCTTGTTGGGAGAGTCAGCCGAAGAGTGTTGCTGCATGATGGATGCACGCAACATAGCATCCCCTGTCTTGGAGGCGGTAATCTTGCTCATGGCTTCCGCTGCATAAATAAATGCAAAAGTTAGGAAAGTTCATAAAAATAATTTCCACAAAAGCACGTATTCGACAGGCCGGCTACCTCTTGAGCACCGACTGCTGAGGTCACAAGCGGCCAGGAAGTACTCGTCATAGAGCCATTTGTAGCTCGGGACGCATTGCAGGGGTACTTGCTCTCGTACCCCTGTAGTAGAGTCGACCCTGGTCTCTACTTTAAAGAGTCCTCGGTCTAGGATCTCTTTTTTAGCTTTTGGAGGAACAGGCGGCATGCTGCGACCGCCTGCGAGAAGAGGCGGGTCTCTGTTCCACCTATTAAAGCGTTGGTTTAGCTCCTTGTCGGAACTCTCAATGATGAGGAAGGTGCTTCTCTAATCCTTCCATTTGTTTTCTTTACCTCTTGTCATGAGGTAGCCCCTATGGCTCGTCAATTGGTACCAGCCGGTACCGCCTGCCTTAGGGGTCCGGCTGAGATAGTTCATGTGGGCGAAAGCCTCAAAATTTGGCTCCACCCCATACATTTCACACCCGGCTATGTAGCCGAGAACATTGAACCAGGAATTTAGGGCTAACTGTCATAACCCCAACTCATATCCGTCCAGGATTCGCTGAACAGCCGGATGTAACGGGAAGCGCAGCCCAGCTCTGATGGCCGCCTCATAGCAGCCAAAGCAGGCGCTATCATAACTAGTCCCAGCCGGCCAGACGACTGTGTCTTCCGGATCTGGCACAAAAACTAGAAATCCAGGACCCATTGTGTGGTCCGCTATGAGGCCGCCTACTTTCTCTTGCATGGCCTTGATTCGGCCTTTTGGAACGGTGCAGTAGTAAGGGGTGTTCTGCTCTATATAAGTGGCAGATGGCTCCGCCCAATTGTCCCCCTTCTCTACTGAATGGGCAAGCCTCGCCTCTTGTAGGCGGTTGTGCCTCTCCTCTGTGTCGAGTGAAAGGTGACTAGAAGAACTGGAGTCAGACTCGTCCTCTGAAGAGTCCGAAGAGGACGACTCCTCCCCTCTCCCAGAGGGGGCCCGCTTCCTCTCCTTCAACAGGAGCGGGAAAAAAATGTAGACATATCTACGGTAAAATGGGAAGGGACCACCTTGATCCCTCCCTCAGAGCTGTCGGCAGCCAAGCAGCCTTGGTTCACTTCAACATCTGGCGCTTGGTCAGATGTTTCACTAATCGGCACCTGGTAGGAGGAGCCGTCCGAATTTGTGATCCTAACAGTTCTTTTTGTTCTGGCCATTATGTTCTGCATAGACACAGAGACAGTCGGACTTTGTATAAAGGGCAAAGATTGGTTCGAAAAGGGGCAGGCGGCACTCCTAATCCTAGACTCAGCCGTTCTCGGTGACCGGCTGATCACTAACCTAGGTCGTGTCGTGTGCTTCCGTGGTGCCATTTCAAAAAGAAAAAATAAAGAAAAGAAAAAGAATGAGAGAACAGACGGTTACCTGAACGAGAGAGAAGTTGACGAGGATCTGGAAAGTAATCTGAGTATCAGCTGACTTGTCAGAGCAGGCGGTAGGCTGGAAATGTCCGAAATGTCAGAGCAGGTTCAGGGGTCCGAGTGTTCTCTTATAAAAGTTCTCAAGTGTGAAAATATCTGAAGTCAACACGCCCTTATATAGGCAAAATGAGAAGATGAAGAGTCACTTCCCAAATTCAAAATTTGAGCGGCAAAACTCTCGGCCTTTCACCAAATGACACCTGTAGTAGGTCGTCGCCTGTTACGAGCCGACACCTGTCACAGGTGACATGTGACCAGTCACGTGCCACCTGTGAGGGGCAAATAATTAGGGGATTTTTCCAACCAATCACCATCTGACAAGTGGACCAACCAGGTTCCGTCATGTGTCCTTCACATGGGCCAATAGGAGCATGCCACGTGTCAAGCAGTGAACCGGCCACCAAGGCCCAATTCTTGTGGAAGGCCCAGTCAGCCCTAAGTTTAACCTAAACCTAGAAATTGGAACGCTTCCCAAGGTTATAAATACCTTCATTAATCCTCATTAAAGGGGATCACGCACATTAAACACTCTCACCTAGAGAGACTCATTTACCTTTTTTCCGCATTAATTACTCCCTAAACAAGTACAAACTTGACCGTTGGAGGCGGAACTCCAATTACTCGGAGTATCCGTTTGTTTTGCAGGTACAGGCGTCCGGTTCCAGTCTCGGAATTGTAACTCTCCCGCAGGACATCAAAAAACCCCGAAACAATGATGATAAAATTTTCGTGGATTGTTGCATTAACTCTTTTATAACTTCTACTTATTGAGTAATTTCGCTATTCTTTAATCATTCAAATCATTATTATTTTTATATTATTAGCTTTGCATCATATACATACTCTTCTACCTAAAGATATACTCTCCTTGTCCCAGAATAATTGACACGTTGGACTTTTTTTCACTATTTATATATCTACTTTGACTTATTAGTAACATATGAAAAAAGCATTTTAGAATAATGAAATATATGTTTTTAAAGAGGTATTAATACAAAGTTTCATAAAATCAACTTTTTATTATTAGTTTTAATAATATTTAAATATAATTAAGGTCAAACTAGTGCATCGACATGTGTGTCAAGTTTGACTGTCAGTTATTCAGGAACAGTGGGAATATTTTCTTAATTACAATTTCTGAAAATGTGTCTTATAGATGAATCAAAAGAAAATTTTCCTCACGTCTACAATAGATCGATAGACCCCTTCATCGAAAAAGGCTGTAAATCACAGCGATATGAAAGAGGGTATGAAGAATGTACGATTTGTAACAACGATCATAGCTCTGCTGAAAGGATATTTTTATTTGATTCAATTGTCATGTATTTATTATATTAAATCTCTTTGTAGATGTCATATGACTTTTTATTTATGAATCAATCTTTATACCAAAAAAAAAAAACTAACAAGTTTATAGAAGACTTTGCAATAAAATATAGTGTATACTTATATAATTTTTTTTATTAGAAAACTTACATAATTTTGTATGATAAAAATCAATTTGTGCTTTGCACGGTATAAATACTAGTCTAAAATGGTACACAAAAAAACTACTTCTGTTGTTTTCTTAAGAGCATCATTTGATCTTTTTAACTATTCACACATCTCTCTTTAATAATCTTTTGAATTTTATAAGTAAGATAAAATATAAAAATGTAAAATTCTACTCCTATTAGATTTGTCTTGACTTGTATATTCAAATATTAAATTTTAATAATTACAAAACACAGATTAAAGATATTTGTTTTCTAAGCTTTACATTGATAAACATGAAACTCCCAATGATGCTATTAAAAAAACAAAGGTAGTACATAGTACATATTATTCTCACTCTTTTTTTTGTTGGTTGACCATCTTTTCGCACCCATGTGAACCATTTTTTTTTCTTCCGGATTCTCTCTTTACACCTATGATTTTCTCTCTAACAGTCCTTTTTCCATTGCGCTTTTCTTCCTCTTTTTTCTCAAGCAAACAGACTAATGCCCCACCCTTTAATTTTATGCAATAAAATATCTAGCTGACATGTCCAATGTATGTACTTTGGTACTTTTTGCCAAATTCATCTTCGGTACGTACCTAGACAACTTTCACAAATGAGTACGAAGATGAGTAATCAAGGAAGTTTGGTGGGGTCAGATGCATGGATATGCGTAATCAATATGGGTATGTATGTAATTTTACATGTAGTTTTACAAATGTTGAAATATGGCATTTAAAATGAGATAGAAGTACTTTTTTAACGGGAAAAAGGGTAAAATATATCCGGTATTAGGAAAAAGTAATACATCATACTTCTTCCATCTTAAATTACTTGTCTCATTTTTCCAAAAAAAAAATAAAAATAAATAAATAAATAATAAAAATACTTGTCTCTTTTATTTATTTATTTATTAAATGTATCAAATGATTTGGCAAACTTTTACTCCTATCTAATTGAGTCTCGCACTAACTTTTTTCCTATCTAAATTTTCAATTCCTGCTTATATATTTGTCACATTATTATTTACTCATGGACCAAAAATATTAAGATAGGACTCATAGGAGTACTAGTTTATATCCAATGACTCAAGTAACATAGGTGTAAGCCTGTAACTCTTTCCGGTGTCAATGTAAAATTCTGAAATTGATCAAAATATTTTGTATATGGAGATGAATAAGTTAATTGGTTATATTGGCATGAAAACAGGATCTGCTTATCTTCATGCTCTCATTTACTGGTTGTAGTGATAATAGACTTTATACAGCAAGATGAAGGCACATCTATCAAAGGAAGAATCGATTATTAAATGAGTTTGGTGAGATTTAACTAAGCCTTTTGCTTACAAGTCGGAAAGCTAACCAACTGTTCTATCCTCCTATCTCAATTACTGTAGTGATTAAGCTGTGTAACACAGGAAGACTGAAAAGCGATAATACAAGCAGGTTCAGTCCAATGCTGTAAAACAAATCTACAATGTGACTGATGTCTTAGGCAATAGGCAACATGTGATGATTAGTTTTATGGTTGCCGCCATCCTCTGTAATTTAGGTTAAGCACATAGATTAAGAAGTTGTATATTACATGGGTACCGAAACAGCCATTTATATTGCAATGGTAAATTAAATTGACAACAGTTCAATGACTTTCTAAGCAGTCTGATAATAAGGAACACAGGGAGCAAGTAAATAAACATCTAAATATCGATATAGCCATGTTATACAGCAATTCGACCTGATTTACATTAAGTAGCAAAAATTCTTCCTAGACTCTCTCACACAAAAAGGAAGGTGGTATCATCGTGTTGATACCACAATCTCAATTATCTAAACAGAAGATGATAAGAAAAGGCAGGACTCAAACACTGCTACTAGGCCTACTAATATGTTAAGCCTTTTGTGCTTTGAAATTGAGTATGAATTCTCTGATCTCATCACTAGCTCTATCAAGGGCAGTTCTTCCATCAGCGTCCTTTACGTCATACTTTGCTCCAGCTTTCAGTAGTTCTTCAATTTTCGGTTGGTCACCCTCCGAGGCAGCCATCAACAGTAGGATATCTACAGGATGGATGTTCTGGTTCAAGAGTGCTTCCATCTTATCATATGTACCCTCCACAGCAAGCATTCCCATGTAGTTAAAGTACTGCAAGAGCAATGGACAATGCAATACAACAAACATTATTTAAGATAAGCTTGTATACATAAAACAAAAGCATTGCAGATCATCCTGCAAATAGAAAATCACAAATACATAGCACAAACATCAATTTGCACTGGTGCATCTGAAATTTAGTCTACAGAAACCAACTATAGGCGCGATTTGTCTACACAGTAACAATTCCAAATTGATATCACATGATGAGCACATTATTTCCAGAGCCAAGTCCTTGTGACTAACAGACTATGAAATTATGAATAACCACAGCTTTTGCTGTCTTTCTTCCCTAAAGATCTTGGTGAAAAGCCACCATATTTCCTAAGCTATTGTACCGACTAATGATATATTCTATTTTCCTGTTTCTCTTATGTTGTTCTGATGAGTCTTCTTAACCTGTCAGGACTGTCAAGTCTTGACCTTCCCCCCAGTTTCGACAGACTACAGCTATATGATAAGTATACTCTTGTAGTCTTGTTTACCGGTTTCGCTGCAGTAACTAGTTGGCTAGCAATTTATCCTTAATTTAGCACCTCTATGTAATAATATACCACTCCCTTTACAACAAGCTAAACCCCCATGTGACTGGATTGGGTTTAAGGAACAATGAACTCCAAAAGACAGAATTAACGATCAATGAAAAAGCTACTACTCGTATCTGTTTTAACTCAGTACATTGCTAATAAAATTCGAAATGTGAGACATAATTTGGTAACAATTGTGATAGTGTGCTGTGCAATAAACTAGGCACCCAAGCTAAGCTAACTTAAGTATTAGTCCCATTATCATCCCACAATGTGTTCCTTGTTTATTAAGGATCAAACAATGTAGCCTATGCCATCATCATGAGTACATGAAGTAACCCTTAGGATCAATTAAACATTTTTTGTTTCCGGACTTGTGATTATTAAAGATACCTATACCATATGCAACCAACTACTAGGATCAAACAACTAAACTTTGTCCGGATTTAATTATCACGTCACTAGTTCAAATTACGCTGTAACAACTATTTCCTGATTGAAGTACTCAAGTACCAATGATACATTGACATATGCACAAAACTACTAATCTGAAATCATGTCCTACTCAAATAGAAATTTAGCACATACCATAATACACTTCAGAAAATTCAAATTTACCAACTTTATTCTTCAACCATAAATTTAAATAGAAGCAGAACAAGTAAATCAAAAATTAACAGAGAATTATGATAAGTTTAATTAAAAAAAAAAAAAAAAAAAAAAAAAAAAAAAAAAAAAAACCTTACTTGTTCAACATCATCTCTATCAAAATCATCACGAGATTGGCTACCATAAATGCCAGCACCTTCAGCATTAAACTTGAACCAACACTTAGCTCTGCCACCATTAGTGGGTCCCAGCTTCGTAGTGGGCTTAAATTTGGGCCCACTTACGTTTGTGGGCATACCCAGAAACCCATTTCGCAAGTTCAACACACGAGAGGTTGATGAATGAGAAGTTGAAGGTTTTGAATTGATTGCAAATTGGATAGAACATGAGATTGAAGCCATGGTTAAGTGTGGAGAAACAGAGGAGAGAGAAATTGTGAGTGTATGAAAAATGTTATTATCCTTTCTCTCTCTAAAATCTGGCCACAATTTATATATGTGTGGATAATTTGAGACGGGATCAAACAATCTCTATCGTCGATATTTTTATTCACCGTGTTTGATGAAAAGTTAAAAGTGAAAATTTAAAATTTAAAAGTGATAGGCCTGATACTCTTTCTATCCCTTATTTTTTTTTTGCTCTATTTGACTTTTTACGGTCTTTAAAATGCATCTTAAACGTATATATCTCCAATTCTATATGCGTAAAAATTATTAAAATTTGATATAAATAAACTATACAATGAGACGTTTCTAATAAGATCCCACATTGATATATTATCACTTATAGATTAACAAGAATTCATGGTCAAAGTTTTAAATGTTTGACCTATATTTTTATAATGGAGCAAAAATAAGGGACGGATGGAGTAGTATTAAGACTTTTAACTGATTTGACTAATGTATTTTATTAACAACTAATTGTATAAAAGTGTTTGGTAAATAGTGGATTGCTTAAAGTTATTTGATGAGTTTGCAAAATGATCAATAAGCTATTTGTAGGGGTAGGTAACTAGGTATTAGGTAATCCGTAATTGTAATTGAGATAAGATTTTAAATTAAATTAGGGTATAAGTGTTATTTCACCATAAAATGTAGAATAAGTTATCGAAAAAACTTTTTATATAAAAGCTTATTTAGTTAAATAAGCTCTTTAAAAATAAGATTTCCACCAAACACTTTAAATTAACGTATTTTATAGTCAATAAGCTAATGTTGATTAAATAAGCTAATTTTGTTCAAATAAGCTATTTATCAGTACCAGACACAACCGTATAATTTAGAAAAGTTGACGCTACTAATTAATTTAGAATGGTCTCAACTTTCAATCACAGAGTATATTATATCAACACATTTTAAACCTTCAAGTACAAATTTTACAAAACCACAACCTTTTTAATGGATTTAAACTTTAAAGTGTTACGTGATGTGATTTCATTAATCATTTGATATGAAGTATGAGTATATTTTTATATTTTGTCGAAAATAATAATAAACTCGTATGTAAGTGCTTATGTGGTTGAAAGATAATTACTCTTGAAAATGAAAATTTTTAGACAATAGCTAAAATAAATTGTGTTTGGCTAGAAATTTCCTAGGAAATGTAATTTCAAGAGGAATGTAAATTCCCACGTGACATGGGGAATAACTCACCAAGCCCCCTTAAACGAGTGAATTTCTTCAATGCATATGAAGTTATATTCTATTGACTAATTTCCATGATGTCAACCAAATACTTTGCACAAGTTTTTTGCAATTAATAAGAGAAAAAACTTCTCATGGTATATGATTTCATGTGGGAATTTCTTTCACATATTTTTTTTTTCTTTTGTTTTTAGACAGAGGTTACAAATATTAAGAAACTAGCTAAACTTCCTGCACATGTTGAACCAAACAAGTAAACTTACCCCAAGCTTGAGCAGTTAAGCTGAACTGAATTCACATACTCAGAGTTTGAGCATCATGGATTCATAGAGTTAGAAATCTTAGATGTAGCTTAACTCTAGCTAAAGCCTAACTCAATTAAACACAAGTATGTTCTTATCATACGGTTTCCAAAAATTTAGTATTGATAATTTTTAACGGAGTATTTTATATATATATACCGATGAGAAGTACTCTTATGGTGAGAAGTGTGAGAAACTCGTATACATTGAAATCAAATTGCATGTACATTAAGTAGCCACTATGGATACAATAAAACATCAGTCTAGATACATTAACAAAATCATTGCAGATACATCTGAAAATTACTACAAATACATCTATAAATCATTACAAATACATCATGCAACCAATAAGTACATCAATTGCAGAGCTCATATACAATAAGCTAATATTGGAATTAAAAAACAAAAAAAACAAAAAAAAAAAAAAAAATGATCATGTTTAATAAAGTGGAACGCTAAACGTCGCCCTCGAATCTCTAACTAACGCCCGCAAAATAACCTAAAATGACGTACGTAGCCTTGTTATAAAAATATTATAAAATAGTTATTTTTACATAAACTTAACACTTTTACCCTACATAAAATTTTTTACCGTTCTCCCTAGTGCTCACACCGGCCACCAACGATCACGTTGAACCACCAACCACTGTAATTTTCAAAATCAAACAAATAATTTAAATTTTGCAAAACTTAATTCGTTGGGTCCCATGGAAGACAACGAAAGGCCGGAAACACCACCCACGTTGGTCGCCGGAGGCTCATCGGACTGTACGGAATCGGTACGATTATTTAATTTTTTTTTTCGAAATTCCGAATAATATAATTTTCTGTTTATGAAATTTCCAGGCAAACGCCCAAAAAATTCGAATAACCTAGGTTGAAACGCCTAGTTTTTTCGAACACCCTAGGATATTCAGAAAAAACTAGGCGTTTTCTTTTTTTTTTGAATTTCCGAATATTTAATTTTCTGTTTAGGAAATTTCCAGGCAAACGCCCAGAAATTTTGAAAAAACTAGGCTGAAACGCCTAGTTTCTTCGGAATATCCTAGGGTGTTCGAAAAAACTAGGCGTTTCATCCTAGGTTTTTAGAAAATTTTGGGCGTTTGCCTGAAAATTTCGAATTTTTTATTAATTTTGAAGTATTATTATAATTAGTTGTTATTATAATTAGTTGTGTTATGTTAGAAGTATTATTATTAGTTGTTATTATTATTAGTTTTTATTATTATTAGTTGTCAACTTTTATTAATTTTGTTTTTTATTATTATTATTATTATTATTATTATTATTATTATTATTATTATTATTATTATTATTATTATTATTATTATTATTATTATTATTATTGATTAGGGGATTTTGCTCCCACCAATCGGAATGCGCCACGTGGGCTAATCAGGTTCTGCCAAGTGTCTCCCAGTTGGAACTGTCAGGGCTTGCCACGTGGCACGCGCTTATTCGTCCACCTTGGACCTGTTATGTCATGACATATGGCATACTCCATGCCTAATGGAGAAACCGGCCACCCAGGCCCAACTTCCGAGGGAAGCCCAATCGGCCCTAGGTTAACCTAAACCTAGGATGGGCTCGTTTCCCAAGGTTATAAATACCTCCCTTAATCCTCATTAAGGGGGATTACGAACACATTACGGAAAAAACACATTAATTACACACAGTAATAACCGGCTGATCTCGCTAACAAAGCAGATTACCTACATTAAACACTCTCACCTAGAGAGACCCAATCACTTTAATTTCCGCATTAATTACTCCTTAATCAAGTACTAACTTGACCGTTGGAGGCGGAGCTCCCAGGAGTCTCCGTTATTTTGCAGGTACAGGCGTCCGGTTCCAGTCTCGAAATTGTAACTCTCCCGCAGGACATCAGAAAACCCCGAAACAATTATTATTATTATTATTATTATTATTATTATTATTATTATTATTATTATTATTATTATTATTATTATTATTATTATTATTATTATTATTATTATTATTATTATTATTATTATTATTATTATAGGATTCTGAGTCCGAGGATGGTGATGGTGATGGTGTGGATTATAGCATACATTTTTTGACAGACACTGTGTTTCCGAGTTTTGAGGATGTCGTTTTGTGGGCACAAAATGTTTGTCGCCCGCTCGGATTTATGTTAGTGAAGGCTTCTTACAAGACCGATCGGAGTGGTCGGCCGTATCGATATGTGAGTTGTGATCGTGGAAAAAAGAGCATGATAAGAGACATGATGAACACGATATGCAAAGACACGAAAAGCAAGGCAAACAGTTGCCCCTTCAGACTCAAGGTTGAGTATGTCAGAGTAGTAAGTGGTTGGAAGCTCAGTTGCTTGAACGGCACTCACGATCATTCTTTGGTTGTGTATCCTGAGGGACATCGACAAATCAGCGGTCTTAGTCTTGCTGCTAAGCAGGTAGTTCGTGACATGACTCAGGCACAGGTGCCACCTCGGCATATCATGAGAACTCTTGTAGAAAAGTTTCCCGGAGACCATCCAAACATCAGGCATGTCTACAACTGCAGAAGTAATATCAGAATGGAGCGATTCGAGGGAAGAGAGGTGGTTCACCAGGTGCTTCATTTGGCCAGACAGAGCAAATACCTTACTTGGGTTATGACTGATACCAACAACGTGTTGCAACGTGCTTTCATGGCACACCCGATCATGACAAATTTGCTACGCACATACCCGTACGTGATAGGTATGGATTCCACTTACAAGACGAACTAATACGGCATGCCATTCTTTGAGATTGTTGGGGTTACACCGACAAATCAGAACTATCTTGTTGCATACGCATTCATGAGGTCGGAGTCCGAAGAAAGTTAACGGTGGGTGCTTCAATGCTTGAGGTTGTTGATTGGTCATCATAGAGAGCCGTCGGTACTACTGACAGATAGGGAGCTTGGTCTTTGCGCAGCCTTGAAGAGCGTGTTTCCAAACACAAGACACATGTTGTGTGTGTGGCATATTAACAAAGATGTTGAGGCGAAGGTTACTTCCATGTTTGAAAAAAAGAAGGAGATTGGTGCCAAGTTCAAAAATGGGAGGTGGAGGCATGTGATTAATGCTACATCTGAAGAGGCATATGAAAGAGAGCTTGTAGAGCTGAAAACCAAGTGGAGTCGATGGCCGAAAGTGATTAACTATGTTGTGGACACTTGGCTCATACACAAGGAGAAGTTTGTGATGTTTTGGACGAATCAGGTACTGCACTTCGGCAATGTTAACAACTGCAGGGTTGAGAGCCAGCATTCGGCATTGAAATGTTGGATTGACAGTTCTACAGGTTCTTTAGACACAGTTTGGGCTCAAGTTCACTGCTCGATTGAGAACCAGATCATAGCCATTCGTAATGGGTTAGAGGCATGTAGAGCAACTCATGGTCAGAAGTACAAGCAGAAGCCTTTGCATCAGCTGAACGGAAAGGTATCCCACTATTGTTTGTCTATTCTTCTTGGTGAGACGAACAGGATGCGAGGGTTGAGTACAAATGTCCATCGACGTTGTGGGTGTGCTCTACGTACTACCCACGGGTTACCTTGTGCGTGCCAAATATATGACTCGATTACTGCAGGGATGGGGTTGTATACGAAGGACATTCATCCATATTGGAGGACCCTTGGCATTGGAGCGGGTGTCGACATTCTTGATATAGTTGATGAAAATGATGAGGATCGAGCTCATTTCCGTACCCTTGTTGATCAGGTTATTGCCAGCGACCCTGTGATGCTTAGGCACGTGTCTCGAGTGATTGAGGGTGAGATGGATCCTAACTACGATGACCTTCAGGAGCCTCGAGTCAACCCTCGAGTAAGGGGAAGACCTCCCGAGAGAAGGAACAGGCGAGATCGTTCGTTTTTTTAGCATGTTCAACGTAATGGGCGAGATAATCGATCCAGAAGTAGACCACCCCCATCTGATACAGGTGATTATCGATATAATTAAATAATGTTTTCATACATCGTATATTTTAATTTATTTTGTGTAATAACTTAATTATATGTCATATTATGTTTTTCATTTTGTAGGTACCGGGTTCGACATGCGACAATGTAGATACAGCTACGCGATTCCCAACATGATGTGGCCTTACGTCGTAGGTGTTAAGGACGTAATTGGATATGGGAATTGCGGATTTCGTTGCGTAGTAGATTTTTGTTACGGAGATCAGGAAGAATGGCGGTTGGTTCGACATCATATCGCAAATGAGGTTGGTTCTCATCCTTGGTTGTATAGCATGATTTACTACGACATATGGGGTCAACAGGTTGGTTCAGGACTGCAGAGGGAGGTAGACCGGATCAGATGGGATGGTGATGCCTGTGGACAGGAGCATTGGATGGTAGCACAGCAGGATTTGTTTGCTATTGCCACAATATGGAATGTGGTAGTGATTTGTTATAGAGTAGGAAATAGACCATCGTGCTACTATCCATCTACCACTGTTTTACCGTTGAACAATCATGGACGCTTAGACAGGCCTAGTGCAGAGTTCGTGATTGGAACTGTTGGTGGATCGCATTTCCTTCGTTTACATATGGATCAAGACCACCCACTTCCTCCAATTTCACCAATGTGGTTTAACGCTCGACAGGCAAGTGTACACGGATGGGAGGCAAGGTACGAGAGAAGGCTTCAATTGTGGCAGACATTAGTTAGCTCTTGAGTACTGTTATGGATTTTTATTAAACTTTATATAACTTTATTAATAAACATGATTATTTTTTTTTTAATTTTGTTTAAGAAATTCTTTTAAAAATTTACTAAGTACTACGTAATTAGAAAATAAAATAATAATATATAAATGTCAACTTGATAATTCTCAACAAATGTGATAAAATATAAATGTCCACTAACAACATCCAAAACATAGTCTAATAAAACAATAAAGTCAAAGCTAGAATACATATACAGCTAATCTCTAAGTCCATTTATTGTATTCCAATCATTAATCACCTGCTCCAACATTACTTTGGTGTCCCTTGATAGCGTAGGGTACTCACTAAGTGATTGATGTGCTGTAACCATGAATCGCCCTACCCACTGCACAAACCATTATAATTGTGTATTAATAGAAATAATAGGAAAAAAATTAAATTAAAAAAAATACTAACAAAAAACTTACGTAATCAACGTTGGTCCTCTCAGGAAGACCGACATCATCCTCAACTTTAGGAGTGACGATAGGATGGCTAACTCTCCCAAACCAAGGTAGGTAGTCAGGGGCACAAGTATGTCCGCCACGTGGAACTCTAGTATATCCACCAAGAAGAAGACTGAACGCAGCACCGGGGACAAATCTATCCCACATGAGAGTGGTCATCTGAGCTGAAAAAAACTGACCCTATAAGACTTCACACTAAGTGGTCTCTGATCATCATCAGGCCTAATCATATCACCGGGAATCTCCTGTATAAACCCTAACTGTCGAACAACTCGATCGGGCATATATGGTTCTATGATGCCTCGATAGCGAATACATCCAGTAAACATAATCCTAGGCACCTGTTGTGCAGGAAAAGCACCGTATGGCAACCAACATACCTGCAAATTAGTTATACCTGTAAATCAACTGTAAATAAAATCAATATAAGACAAATAGTAATTACGTATCTACTTATACCTCATAGTCACACAGCTGGTCAAGTCGAGTACGAAAGGACACGAGACGCTGTTGATGCTTTCGCGTCATACCAACATCCCATAACCCTGCACGAGCATGAGGGACGTCCCGTGTCAACACACCCTGGTGAGGTCGAAAACATGGAAATTACTCGTATATCCAAGCCTGTAGAAGAGTCAGACAACCCGCGATAGAATCACATCCATTTCGGGTGGCATGCCCGAGCTGACGATACAAGTACGCTAGTGAGGCTGAACCCCAGGAGTATCTCGTCAATTTCTCCAGTTTATCCTCGATACACAACTCACTGAGAAAAGAAGGGTGAGTACGGGTACCGCTCTTGTCAGTAAAGAGCGTGTTACCCAAAAGGACCCACATGTAACCAATGGCCTGAACCGCCTCCAGCTGCTCCTTACTACGACACCTAGCAATAATCTGGTCAGTATGGACGCCACCGTTCTTGTAGATGGCATTCTGAGTCTTGACCTGTAGCTCCTCCGGAGTCAACTGTAACAACCCACCGACCAATGTCCTATACTGGTCACTAGGGAGATCACCGACAACCATATCCCCATCAACCCGAATACCAAGTATATAGTGTACATCGTGCAACATGATGGTCATCTCACCAAAAGGTAGGTGGAATGTGTTCGTGTCTGGCTGCCATCTCTCAACAAAGGCAGAAATCAGCGGAAAATCAAGGTGGTCGTGCATAATGTTAGGCAGGTGCGACAGCCCAGTCTGCCGTATCCGCGTAGTGGTGGCAGCCGTAAATCGCTCTAGCCAATCAGTCAAATCTCTACACACACCAGCTCTAGTATGACACCGCAAAAACCGTCGATCTTCCCCATCCCAAATATACCGAGCAACATGGGCCCCGAAACTAGGAATAACGCTCCCATTCTCGGGCCCACCGTCCATCGGCCCCTGAACAAGCCAAGTCGCTGCAGATCGAGGTGGTCGGGAACTCGTAAATCTCCCATCAGGACCTCTCGTCACGACTGGCGGCTGCTCCTCAGCATCAGCCTCACCCTCAGGTCCATCATCCTCAGGTCCATCATCCTCGTACCTCGAACTCGAACCCGAACCCGGAGTCCCATAATCATCCACTACCCTGTCGTGCTCTGGTACTGAACTACCTTCCCGTATACTAATCCCCCTATCTCTCCTAATTGACGCGTTAATACCGCGTGATCTAGCATGTCGTGGACCAGAACCCTCAACTACATTCTAAATTTAAAATAAATTATAATATTAATAATAAAAACAAAATAGGTGATGCAAACTAAAGAAAACCAATAACTAGTACTACTGAATTTGCATCTTTTAGTTACAAACATAATTTTTTAACTTTTTGTCTTTGATGTACAATATTGTTTTTTTTTTCTTTGATACCATGATAATGTAAATCACTCTTGCTGCCCCTAAGCTTAACAAGTAAAAGGCTGCAATGCTATTTGTCCATAAATCAAAAATACCTTCACTACTCATTTACAAGACACCATTAAATTTGAATGTTTACTGTACGTCCATTTGCCAAATTGTGTTTATATATATCTACACTTCAAAGTGTGTGTGTCTATATACATCTACACTTCAAATTCTAGTTTGTCGATGTTGACAGTAGTGCTTGGTTATTAGGGAATTTTAAATTAAATGCACCAAATAAATACAATGGAATATAAAGGGGATAATTTCTAGTTCCTCTATTGAAATCAGATCCTATGCCCGGCAGCATAATTCATATCATGCTTCTATAAAATCCATTACCACCTCATATGGCCAAAAATAATCACTGATGATACATTTTGGAAATAACATAGTAACAACAGCAATTATAAACAACAACAACAACAATTATAAACAACAACAACAATTATAAACAACAACAACATCAATTATAAACAACAACAACAACAATTATAGACAACAACATCAATTATAAACAACAACAACAACAATAATAAACAACAACAACAACAACAATTATAGACAACAACATCAATTATAAACAACAACAACAACAATTATAAACAACAACAGCAATAATAAACAACAGCAACAGCATACGAATGTTTTTTTCGAATTATAAACAACAGCAACAGCATACGAATATAAGGCGAAAACGCCCAATTTTTTCAACAGATCTAGGGTGAAACGCCTAGATTTTCGTATAACTGTATGGGTGAACGAAAATTCTAGGCGTTTTAGCCCAGAATTTGCGAAAATTTTGGGCGTTTCCGCCAATTCCAGAAAAAAAATAAAAAAAAAAATATACTCACCTTGTCTCCGGCGACTCCTTCGACGACGGCCTTTCCCTTGTCCTTCCTCGTCATTTTCGCGTCTTCCCTTGTACGTGGTGGAGGGTGGGACTGGTGGTGGGTGGGACGTGGTGGTGGTAATAGTGGTTGGTGGTGGTGGTGGTGGTGTAGAGAGAGAATTGTATTTAAGAGGGAGAAGAGGGAGTGAGGGTTTTGGGAGTGAGGGAGTGAGAATTGTTTTATTTTATTTAAGGGTAAATTTGTAAAATAAATTTTATTTGCGGGCGTTAGTCGGAAATTCGAGGGCGATATTTAACAACCCCTTAATAAACAATTGAACGCATTAAAAAGGCAACGAGTCCCTCTCTAGGGTTGGTAGTCCTTGGCGCTAGGGTTTGTGGTTTGTGCTCGTTCGTTTATGATTCTTGTGAGTTCCTTGTCGATATTTCTGCAATATTTCTTGTTTTGTGACTGATTTGCTGTGATGGAGTCGGATTTGCTGAAGGACTGGGAGAAATTCCGGTTGACAGAAGATGAAATCTCGATTGTGGGTAAAGATGAGGGTTGCGAAATTGAAAACACATCTGAGGAGCAACTTCGCCTTACATTAGTTGGGAAGTTATGGACGGTGAGACCGTTCAATGTTGAAGCCATCTAATGTGTGGAGATTGGAGGATAATATTGCAATTCGCACTATTGACACGAACCTGTTTGTGTTCCAGTTTTTCTCGGAGGCTAATAAAGAACGCATCTTGGGGGGATGCCCTTGGTTCTTCGATGGCAAATTGCTGTTATTGAAGTCGCCATCGGATATTGTATTCACAAAGTCGCCAATGTGGATTAGACTATATGATGTTCCCTTTAATAAAAGAAATCCTTCGGTGATGTATGAGACTGGGGAGGCTATGGGGGGTTTCATTGAGATGGATGAATCCGACCCATTGGGCTGGAGTGAATTCAAGTGTATTAAGGTTGCTATTGACATCCAAAAACAACTGAGGCGTGGAATTTTCCTTGCTGATGGAAATTCGAAGTCGAGAATGAAGTGGGTGGACATTATATACGAGAGATTGGCTGGTTTTTGCTTCTTTTGCGGTAAGCTCGACCATACTGACAAAGAGTTTATGGCAAAAGAAGCTTCTGAAGTGACTAATGATATAGTGGTTTACCACTATAGTGCGTGGCTGCGTGCCTCCCCAATGAAAAATATTCAAAAACCTTATGCTCAAAGGGAGAGGGAGAGGTTTGGAGTGATAAATTGTGTGCTCTGAAAGGGGGGCAGGGGAGTACTAATGTTAAGCAAGCACCTATCAGACTTGGTCCGATTGGAGCAGCCAGGAAGCTCCAATTTTCTTCGCCGATGTCCAATGAGACACACCCAAAGGAGCGTGTGGCAAAATTGATGCTTGAGACTGATCCCTCTAACAAAAAGCAAGTACTTAGAATACAGGAAATTGGCTCGGGTGAGAAGGTGGACGTGACAAATGATGACATGGGAGCGGTGGAGATGAACATTGGTGAAGGGTTGAAGGGAAGTTCAGGTGGTGGGTGGGAAGTGGATAAGGGGGGTGCGTGTGTTGTTGGAGCTAAGGGGGATCTGGTGAAGCCTATAGTGGAAAATATTATAGTACAGGGTATGGGTAGTGGGGAATGTAGTGTGAGAATTAAAGGGGATATACTGGCAGCGAGGGTGGAATATAGTGAGTCAGTGGGGGTTACTAATGGTGAGGGTGCAAAAAGAAAAGGGATAAGGGACGTAGGTTATGGAAAAGACAAGATCGAATATGTGATGACAGTGAGGTTTTGTCTAGTATGAAAGGGTGGGTTGGTGATGACAAAGGGAATAAGGGGCGAAAAAGAGGTAACACTTCGGATATGGGAAATTATGATGAGGTGCTGGACGTAGGAAATGGTGAGAAGAAAAGGAGAGTTGATGCTTTGTTACTTACTGGAGATAGTCAAAATCGAGTAGAGGGTTTTGGTGGCGACCAAACCCTTGAACAGAAATGAAAATATTAAGCTGGAATGCCCAAGGTCTTGGCAACCCTCGGGCTGAGCGTGCTCTCCGGAATTTATGCTGGAGAGAAAGGCCAAAGGTGGTGTTTTTAACGAAAACAATGCTCGATGCTACAGTGTTGGAGAGAATTAAAAGAAGATGTGGGTTCGAACATGATGTATGCTTAAGTAGTGATGGTCGATCAAGTGGAATGGGGTTTTGGTGGAGAGAGGTGGATGTGTCTACTGTTTCTTTCTCGAAACACTATTATGCGGCTGACATCTTAAATGAGGCAGGGATGGCGTGTTGGAGAGCTATTGGTGTATATGGGTGGTCGGAGGCGGAGAATAAACATAAAACATGGGACATGATGCGAACTCTCAAAAATTCGTGTTCTATACCGTGTATCATGTTTAGGGATTTTAATGAGATTATGAGCATTGAGGAAAAGGAGGGAGGAGTGGTAAGAAGGGAGAGTGTGATGGATGCTTTCCGAGATGTGATTGATGAGTGTGGACTGCATGACTTGGGGTTCAAAGGCAATAAATTCACTTGGCAAAGGGATCGAACGCCGGAAACCACGGTGAGGGAGAGGTTAGACCGCTTTCTTGCTGATAATGAATGGTGCACTATGTTCCCGAAATTTGGTGTAAGACATCTCCATAGAGAAGAATCGGACCATGCCCTAATAATGCTTGATACAATAAATTATTATGAGAGGGGAAGGAAAGGAAAACTATTTCGATTTGAATCATGGTGGTTGTCGAATGAAGAGTGTGCTGCGATAGTTGCAAAGGCATGGAGTATGGCTGCGGGGCGGAGGCTCATACTCGTATTGCTGGTTATGCCGCTGGTTTAAAGAAATGGGCAGCCAAGACGTTTAGGGATATTCGAAAGAAAATCAAGAAGTTGGAGGATGCACTTCAGAGTGCGCAATGTGCTCCGGTGGATGCCGCAATGCTAAGCAAGTGTAATGAATTATCGAGTGAGCTGGGAGAGATGCGTCGAATGGAAGAGTTGTATTGGTATGTGAGGTCCCGAGCAAATGAGATGAGGGACGGAGATGAAAATACGGCATATTTTCACTGTAAGGCGAGTGCGAGAAAAAAGAAAAGCACAATTCATGGTTTACTTGATAGTAGCGGCAATTGGTGTACGGATGAACAGGAAATTAGAGCAATGGTGGGAGAATATTTTGCGAACCTGTTTTCTACGAGTAGCCCGGTTGAGATGGAGGTGGCTCTAGATGGCTTGGAGCAGCGTGTGACTGGAAGTATGAATAATGTGATGAATGCGGAGTCGAGTGATGTGGAAATTAAAGACACTTTGTTTCAAATGCACCCCAATAAGGCGCCCGATGTTGACGGTATGCATGCTTTATGTTTTCAGAAATTTTGGCATATCGTTGGTCCCGATATTATTACTCTTGTGAAAAATTGGTGGAATGGGAATGTTAATATAGATGAAATAAATAGAACGTGCATTGTCTTGATTCCGAAATGTAATGACCCAAAAGATATGACGAAGTTTAGGCCGATTAGTTGTTGTAATGTGGTTTATAAAACAATATCTAAGGTCTTGGCCAATAAGATAAAGCCATTTCTAGACGATATTATCTTTGTTAATTAGAGTGCTTTTGTGCCGGGTCGATTGATAACTGATAATGCTCTTTGCGTTCGAAATTTTGCATTCTATGAAAAGAAAGGAGGAAGGAAGGGTTGGGTCGGTGGCACTAAAGTTGGACATGAGTAAGGCGTATGATAAAGTTGAGTGGTGTTTTTTGGAGAAGGTGATGGAAAAATTGGATTTCTGTGATGTGTGGATTAGCAGAGTTATGAATTATATTCGGAGTGTGTCATTCTCTTTTAAGGTGAATGGTGAAATTTCGGGCTCTATAACTTCAACTAGGGGGCTTCGACAAGGTGACCCGATATCCCAGTACTTATTTTTGTTGTGTGCTGATGCTTTCTCTGCTCTTTTATCTAAAGCAGCCCTTGAGAAGAAGATTAGTGGGGCGCGGGTCTGTGTTGGGGCGCCAAGAGTATCCCACCTATTTTTTGCTGATGACAGTATTCTTTTTGCTAAGGCTACTCTGCGGGAGTGTTCGAAAATAGCTGATATAATCAGTAAATATGAACGAGCATCTGGTCAGAAAGTGAATTTGAGTAAGACAGAAGTCGTCTTAGTAAGTGTGTTTCGAGTGCTAGACAGCAAGAAATTATTGACACTCTTGGTGTTAGGGAGGTAGATAGACATGAGAAATACTTAGGCCTTCCGACAATTATTAGTAAATTAAAAAAAAATCTGTTTTTTGCGTGCCTTAAGGAAAAGATATGGAAGAAGGTGAACGGGTGGAAGGAGAGATTGATGTCAAAACCGGGTAAGGAAGTACTTATTAAAGTTGTGGCACAGGCAATTCCGACATATATGATGAGTATTTTCAAAATTCCGGAGGGGCTCATTGATGGAATTCATATTCTTCTTAATCGGTTTTGGTGGGGTTCGAGGGAGAATGCAAAGAAGATGCAATGGCAAAGTTGGGATAAATTGTGTCTTCCTAAGGCTAAGGGTGGAATGGGGTTTAGGGATCTCAAATGCTTCAATCAAGCTCTTTTGGCCAAGCAATGTTGGCGTTTGCACACAAATACGAGCTCATTGATCCATCGTGTTCTTAAAGCAAGGTATTTTAAAAATTCTGATGTGTTGAAAGCTAATAGAGGGTATGACCCGAGCTTTTCATGGAGGAGTATATGGGGAGCGAAATCCTTGCTTAGAGATGGTTTAGCTTGGAGGGTAGGCAATGGCGTGGGTATAGCCGTATGGTCTGATGGATGGTTGTTCAAAGATGGCATGGTTATTACCCCTTCTCGTCCCCTGATGGCTGATGAAAATATGAAAGTTGGTGAACTGTTGACTGAGGACAGAAAAGAGAGGAATGTGACTAAGGTGGAGGAGTTTTTCCAGCCTGAAATTCGTGACATTATTCTGGCAATTCCACTGTCTAACTCTCCGGATGCTGATAAACAATTCTAGTACTTGGCAAAAAATGGTCTCTATTCAGTAAAATCAGGTTATTGGTTAGCAAAATTGGGAGCAAGCGAGGGTGGTGACAGAGCCGAGGAGGATGAGGTCTGGAGGTTTGTTTGGAGGGCTAGAGGTCCACCAAAATTGAAGTTGTTTTTGTGGAGTGCTGTTAAAGGAAATATGGCAATCAAAGAGAGATTGATGCAACGTCCCTGATGCTACATGCCCGATATGTGGGGAGACCGAATCAATAACTCATGCTTAGATTGATTATGTTGTAGCTGCTGAAATTTGGAGGCATAGCGAATTTCTTGAACATTTAACTAATGCTTCCTCGCTCAAGCTTTGCTGATTTATGGAGGTGGCTATGTAGGAAAGTAAATGCGGAGGTGGCTTGCTCAATGGCTGTCTAATGTGGGCTGCGTAGAGGGGTAAAAACCTGATAGTGTTCCAGAATGGGCCTGATGGTGTCTCTCTTGCTGCGGGTTTTTTGAGGCTAGTTGAGGATTACAATCAATATGCTGCAAAGGTGTTGGTGCAGGCTATTGTACGTGCAATCCCAGGGGCTGCTACTAGCTGGTCTAGGCCTGCTATGGGTGTTATAAAAATAAACAGTGATGCACATGTGAAGGCAGGTTCGAAGTGTGGACCAGGGGTTGTACTTCGTAACGCAAATGGGTGTGTTGTAGCTGCTGCAGTGAAGAGAACTCCCTATACATCTCCTGAGATTGCTGAAGCTATGGCTACAGGTGGCTTGGCGACTTAGTTATAGGAATGTGGTGGTTAAGAGTGACTCGTTGAATGTGATCCAAGCTGTGCAAATGGATACGCAAGGGTTGGCTCCCATATTTCTTGTTTTTAATGATATTAGAATAGGTAGCTTGCTATTTGATGCTTGTAGTTTTAAACATGTGAAGCGTTCTTGTACTACGGTTGCTCACCTAGTAGCTAGGTGGGACACCGAGAACTGTTCGGAACTTGTACGATTGGGCTCGTTCCCCCAAAGTCTCACAACTTTGACAGAGTTATACCTCCTTTAATTAAAATAAAAGCATCGCTACCCTTCAAAATAAAAAAAAAACAATTAAACGCATTAATAGCCCACTTTGTAAGCTCATTTGGTGAACAACACATAATTAAGGTGACCATACTTTACTACTATTCATTTTGGAATCAAGATTCAATTAGCCATTTTAAAAATACGGTGCATGGTCAAAATATTACCAATCAACTTCTATACACCACTAGAAAATTATTTAATTCATTAAAGTATAATCAGAGCTTTGATACCACCATGGCTATGGAAATTGAAGTGCATGTAAAGCAAACAAAGCACCTCAGTGATAAATCAATGTGAACAATAAAGAAATCACAAACAAGGTATTGCACGAGGAGAGAAAATCTGCGAGAAGCGAATCAAGCGATTATATTGAGACTGTGAATTAGTGAAATAGAAATCACGGAATACTAGGATGATTGATAGAAACATTTGCAGGAATACAACTATACAAGTCATGAAATCAAGGGAAACTCTTCTTTGCAGCTCACCTAAGAGTGAGCGCATTTCGGATTTTCCCAGATCTCCAAAGCCTGTGATCATAAGGTCCTGCAACTTTAGTTCCTGAAAACAGTCCAAACCAGCGGTACGACCAATGATTTCAGGACTCATTGGACTTCTATAAACATCCTGTCAAACAGTATCTGGAATTTCGGATCACAATATTGGTTAGATCAATAATCAGAATACTATAAACAACGCAGTTGTTTTGACAGCTATAATCTTCATCCCCTATTATTCTTTCCAAAAAAACTTCTGCTACCTCCAACCTATTTCCTCAAGGGTGCCAATCAGTTGAATGAACGGATATCTGGCAAGATCCCTTCTTCCCATCACTACATCTAATTGATCAACGGCTTCAATTCATTAGAATGGTGAAGGTAACAACCAGTGTCAGCAGCTTAGCCATTAATTTTCATTCAACTGCAACATTCCTTTACAGTATCAAATAATCCATGTCTTCACAGCAGCTGAGTTTCTCTAATAGAGTATCATAGTCATAAGTTACTCAGGTTTGTGAAAGCTGTCTTTCATCTTTAGAAACAGTTTCAAAACATCCACTTTTCCAGCAATGCATAGAACAATGACAGCCATACAAGTAACAATGGCAGCTCCACGTGCCACATCATCCATTCTTGTAAGAATTCTAAGCACCTCATCATTTTTCTCAGTCATTCTAAGAAATTCAATACAGGTAGTGAACGTGCATATATCAGGACTTAATCCCAGACTTTCCATGTATTTCACTAATCTCATAATACTATATTCCTTAATAGTTTCAGTATCCTGTTGCTTCTAAATAATCCCTACTGCAACCACATGCACAGAATACGACTTTAAACTAAAATATAATCATTCTTATGTACATAACCAAAGGCTCACTACAATCACCAATCTAAACAAACCCAGCCGTTATCAGACGTTCAATACTCTGACTGGGGTATAAAATCCTTACCCAACACTAATTTTCACCCAAACACTCCTATCATCTTGAACTACATATCCACAAAGAAAGTTTCTTTATAAAAAAAAAAAAAAAAAAAAAAGGGAAAGAGAATTATGTGTAGTTACAAATGGGTTTGAGATCGGAATTTTCAATGGCATGAAGGCAGCTTGGAAAGGAAGCACATACATTTGTAATGACAAATGACTCATTTAGAAGTCTTCTAGTTCCTATATCAAGTCTCATGAGAAATCATTGCTCTCTTATCACCACACATGACCTAGTCCCGTTTCACTCAGAAGCACTGATAATTAGTCAAATAGTAAAATTCCTGTTAATCATATGTCTTAGCATCAAGTCAAACAAAAACCGTTTACTCTCACTCTCCTATTTGCCTTCAACATCTAAGGCATGTAGTTACAAGCTTCATTGGTGTGGACTCTATAGGGAATCTCTGCAAAGGGTCTGTATTTAACTGTAATCGTGTAACGCTTTCTAATAAATTACAAACAATAACCATGTATCCCACCCTCCTGATTAAGCCCCACAGACCTACCATACACTAAAGGATAGCATACCGCATACCTTCATTGATGTTGTAGCTTCAACATAACAATGAATTTGTTCTATGCAACAAAGTTTCCAAAACAAAAACATATCAACTGATATAATAAAAGTACCCAAGAACCAACAAATTATAGTGCGAAAAATGTGCATATGCAGTTGTGGGCATTTCTGCATATTTAACAGCTCTTACTTGAGATATTTGAAGCCTTGTGTAATGAACCAACCTAGGCCTCCCATTGTGTACACCTACTGCAGGAGGGGACAGCAGCAGAGGGGAAACAACAACAAACCACAACAGTAGTAGCTAGCAACGACACTAAAGCAGCAGGGCACTTTTGCCTGGCACTGGCTCTATTTTGGCAGCTTATGGATGAAGACAAAAGTAGTTAGTGTTAGCAATTAAGGCTTAGTCACATGTGTAGTATTGTAGCAAGTTAAATAGCAAGAAGTAAAGAGAGAAACATTCATTCAGAAAGTTGTAATAGCTTAGTTGGAGAGTGATGGCCTAAAGCCATTAGTTAGCCTAGTTTGTAACCTTGAAAGCCCTTTGGCTATATCAATCAAGTGTCTTCTTCCTATCTTCTCTCTATTTTCTTATCTGAATTTCCCACTCAAGGTCGCAGTCCGTTGCACCTTGATAGCTGGTTTAACAAGATGAAGCATATTACATTGTACTCCAGCCTGCGCCAAAGAGATCGAAGCCAGCAACTTAAATATGATCGTACAAAGCAAAACATAAGATAGAAGTATAGAACTAAACAAATTGCTGATAAAATATGTTTTAAATACCCATAATTCCATACATATGATAATATGAGTATTGTTTCTCTAAAACTACAGCATAGCACGATTGAGGTCAGAGGTAGCCGTGTACAGTGTACCACCAGTAGAAATAACATCAATTGCACCTAGCATTAATTTGAAAACTGCAGGCTCGGCCAGCTGTACACAAGTGGCAGCAACAAGTCCATGATCTTTTGGCCTAAGAGAATGTAATGCCTAAATTCTATAGCAAAAGGTCTGGTTTTTGCTAGTTGATGAGCTTACTTGGCGCAGGCCATAGGGTTATGCTACAGAAAATCAATCCTAGCTGATTATATTTTTTAAAAATGACACAGCTCCACCAAGACCACCCTCTTCCTCAACCGCCGGGAAGGCGGGAACTGCCTCCCTGAAAAACCATCATAACCCCAAAAGTCTCCTAGCACCACCATTAACTCTACATTTAAGGGGGAAATTCAGCAAAACCTGTCATCACAAATTTGATCCACCAAAAATGAAAAATCTGTAAAAACCTGTCATCACAAGAAATAAACTCCACCACGACCTATTTTAATAATACTACCAACACCAAATTAACACAATATCATCCCATATGCCACACAAACCATCACCAACATCACATATACACAGTATATATAGTATTACAATTTATAATAACACAGTAGAGCATTCATATGAAGTTAATTAATGCATATAACCTTGAGATTAAGATATTTACAAAAAGTCGTCAAGGATGCCAACTATGTAGGTTTTTCACAAATACTTGTCTCCAAAAAAGATCGCCCATTGCTCTCGAACCTCATTGATTTCCTCATCAGTGTAGGGCTCATCTCGTCTCTGATACTCCTTTGATTCCATGAATTAGACCACATAAGTTAGAATAAAGCTTAATTTAACGCAACTTAAAGGCAAATAATTCTTAAATAAACCATACCTTATCCATATTTTGACAATCACCGTATAATGTGACTATCTCATGCATAAATTTCATGACATAACAGCCACTCTCAGTATCACCAGTTTGTTGAGCACACTATATTAGAAACATATTCAGAAATTGTCAAGATACACACATGATACATCTAGTTATTAGGGATTAATAATGGCATATTAACTAACATCATATACCTTAATAGAAGACCATTTCAGCTTAGGTTTGCGCCCCTTTCTACCCTGACCCTTGTAGACTTTGTAAGCCCTGCACATGCATACACAAAAAAGGGAAGATTATTTATGCATTTTACATCACACAAAAAACTTTCTAAGTCAAAATTTATCACAAATTTTCTTCTTACATATCTAAACAGCCTTTTATGGCCAAAGATCTCCCCTTTTTAGCCTTGGAGGAATTGAACTTGAAGACTTTGCCACATGTAAGGTTGATCACAATGAGCATCCAGTGCTCCCTGCATGAATTCCAAGACATGTTGACTGTAAAGTTACAATAATAAATGAAAAATTCATACTCTACTACAAATACCCAAACATAATTATAGCCTTTATAGGTCATAAGTTTGGAGTTTATACATACTCTTCATAATATGGAGCCAATATGAGTTGGTATCCAGCATCACCTCTATCCCTACTGGATAAGAAAACGTCCCTTATGTAGTCTACAGTGACCTGATGTTGGTGATTCTGGTGACGGACATTAGATGCAGCAATTGTTTGGGGACAAAGAAACCCAATATGTGACAAATCAAAAGAAGAGATGTATTTGTCAATTAGAAACCTGTGTATCAAAATTGTGTCAAATGTATGATAGAAGCACAGCTTTCATTAAATCATTCAGATTTAAAGGATTAAGAGGGTAATTAATCTTACATCATGAAGACCTGAACAATGGAAATGCTCAGCCTTGCCCCTCTGAGTAACAGAGTGATGTCCTCCACTGTGATAAAAGTTTCAGTGTCCTTTTCTAAGTGGAACACTTTTGCATCCAACGGAACCGTTGTGACATCATACCGCTCAGGTTGACTTGCCATGACAAGTTGCAAATGCAACAGCTTACTTTTCTCACCAATGGAAGCAACCATGTCTTCCCCAACTTGTTGCAATTGAAGATCGCTGCTATCAAGTTTTTCATTGCTGCTTCCTTCACACCTTTTTTCTGGTGTGGCCTCCTAACATCATTTTTCAATCGTCAATAGAGTCATATTAAAAATTCAAGTAGGGCCCATATAGGTGCAATTTGGACGAAATAGGTTAAAACAACGAACGTTGCCAATTTAGGTAATATTAGGTCACAAAACCCTAACTAAAAAATGGGTTATATTTTGGGATAATTAGGTTCTAGTTTCATTTTGAATGAGTCAAGGCCTATAGCCTGCTTAGAACAAATTAGGACAACTTTAGGTGAAATTTAAGCAAAATTATGCACTCTTTGGTTTGATCTATATTGGGTCAATTAGGATCAAGTTGTCCAATCTGAGTCAATGTACATCTATTTATAAGAAGTGGGACCTGTTTTGGAGAATAATACCAAAAGACCTCAAACTAAGCTAAGTAGGATAACTTAGAATAAGTTTGAGTCCAATATCACTTATATCAGTTCTCACCTCGTCTTCAAACAACACCAAGGCTGCGGGCCATTGCACGAAATTGTCTCGAGCTTCACCAATCTTAGTGACACCTTCTTCCGTAGGTACCGGGAGGTCAACATCGACAAAATCACTGTAAGGATCATTGATACATACCTTCATGTGGCCAGGCTTGATCGATTGATTGTACATTGGCCCATCACCATAGGGATATGCCGTACCACCTGCTACAACAACTTTGTTCCCAGAGTAGGCATCCCACACAGCAAGACGACATGTTTTCAAAGCCTATACATCAAGAGTTCAATAGCTTAATGCAAGATACTATATTGAGCTATTTGAGTATAAATGGAATTTTTTTTTTCTATTGTCGTCCGGCTAAGTATGTACCTTCAACATAGGTGGTGGTAGATTGGAACTGGTGACTTGGGGCAATTGCGGCCTCATGGAGGCCAGTGCCTGCTTGACCTGCATTTCGACTTGATCTTTCAGCTTCTGTTCAAATTCCTCTACCAAGGTAGCTTTGATTGCCTCCTTCATTTCCTCCAATGATTGCTGACTTTGGTTCAATTCAGAGACCTTTTGATCTGGCTTGCCAAAGGCCTTGCAATAGCCAACATTAAGTCCCCCTACTCCATAGACACGGCCAGAATGATCTTTTTTCCCAAGAGCCATGCACAGGGCATCCACATTCCTCTGTGGAATAAAAGTCCCTTGGGCCTGCTTTTGCGTATAATCCTCCTATTGGCAATTAGGACACATTAATATACATAAGATATTGTCAATTTACAGCAACAAATTTCTCATTCAACAATACCTACATATTTTTTGGCAACTTTCCGTGTTTCATCGTTTGTGATAACCCAAGTTCCTCCTTCACCAGGCACTTGTCTTGCCAAAATCCATTCCAAGCCTCGCTTAGCTATTCTACAAGATGGTGCTCCATCGGTGTCAGTAGGGTACCTTCCGTCCTTGATCCACTGTGCTTTGCTCCTCTTGTAACTCTTTGACCCTAAGTGATGATAGTACTTGTTCTGTATTGCGTTCTTCCTTGCCTTGTCACTAATAGCCTATTAGATTAGAAATAAATAAGCATTATTCATATTTTGATTACATATAGTATGTCAATATTAAGTAACATCTTCTTTATTAAATCCCTTGATATTACAATAACCTTTGCCTCATCAGTGGTACGATCTCCTTCAAATTTTTTCCAGTCCGCTTTCGTGATGAATCCCTTGTAAATTTCCCAGGGCATTAAGTGTGCACTCTTTTCCGGAGGCTTCCTTGTCTTAGTGATCCAACGACTCACTAACTTTGCCTTAAAACCTCTGAATCGGTTGGCCACTCCAGAATGAAACAACTTTTCCTTTTCCTTTTTCGGACCATCTTCAATGTGGAACAAAGCCTGTATAATCAGAAAACTAACCGATGTTAATAACCGACATTAATGTCGACTACATTACATAAACTAGGTTATATCCCATTCTCACCTTTGTCTTATCCCAAAATTTTTGCTTGTCGGCTTCAGGTACTAATCGATACCGCTTGACATTAATGTTAATTTTTTTAGCACAGCAGCCAAGATGTCTCCCATACACGTGCTCCCAATCACCTGTTGGCTGACCAAGATCATCATACTCAAGAAACATAGGCTCTTTGACTTGAACCTCTTTCGATGGACCCCTACTTCGTTTGTTGTCTCGTTCATTTAAATGATCCCCTACCCCATCCATCATCTCATCCATGTGATCTTCCTCGTCATCATTGTCTTCATCCCCTACATCACTCTCACAGCTCTCACGTTCACTCTCATCAGATTCATCACTCTCCTCCAGCTGAATATCATGTACACTAGAAGTTTCCCTAGAAGCTAGTCTTTCACCATGCCAAAGCCACACATGGTACGCTTGCCTAAACCCACGACGAATCAAATGTTCTTCTATGATTTTAATATCACTAAATTTCTTTACAGTGAAGCAGTCACGACAAGGGCAGTAAATTTCATCATCTCCACTACTCTTTTGGTGCTCTTTAGCACATCTACAGAACTCCTTAACCCCGTCCAAGAATTCACGTGTGTTGCGTTTACCATACATCCAAGAACGATCCATTTCTGAGAGCAAAATAGAGACACACAAATAAGTTCAGCATTCAGGCATATGTGGAGCCAGGTGACTTGTTTTACCAAATCTACAAATTTCAATTCTGGAATGCAAGCTTCCAAAAGCTTTTTATTTCTCTGACCTAAACCATCTTTGTACATCTAACTGCACTAGTAATTGTATCCATACTTTTCGTCATCATTTCCCCATAACTCTCTCAGAATAAGATCTACTATGGCCCGGGAGATCTACTATGAAAGCAATTCATTTGATAAGACAAATGATGGAGTTTTATAGGGTAAAGAAAAAGGATCTCCATATGGTTTTTATTGATTTAGAAAAGGCATATGACAAGGTGCCAAGAGAGGTTCTTTAGTGGGCAATGTTGAAGAAGGGTATTCCACGAAGGTACGTGGACATGTATAAATATATGTGTTGGGATGTGTCAACAAATGTCAAGGCGTGTGGAGGGTTGACAAAAGATTTTCCTATTATAGTTGAATTGCATCAAGGGTCTGCATTAAGCCCTTTTCTCTTTGCAACGGTTCTAGATGAAGTAATCAACCAATTCAAGATTAGGTTCCATGGTGTATATAGTTTGCGGATGATATCGTTTTGGTGGATGAAACTAAAGATGAGGTTAATACCAAATTGGAGCAATGGAGGCAAAGATTAAAATCTAGAGGGTTTAAGCTTAGTCGGAGTAAGACTGAATATTAGGTATGCCGCTTTGGTACACGGAGGGGGGCAATTGATGATGTAGTGAGCTTAAACGGAAAGGATTTGACCATAAGTGAATATTTTAAATATCTTGGGTCGATCATCCACAAAAATGATGACATTGATCAAGACGTGTCCCACAAGATTAAGTGTGGGTGGCTTAAATGGAGAGCGACCACGATAATGTTATGTGATCGAAGCATTCCTTTACAGTTCAAGGGGAAATTCTATAGGACTAGCATAAGACCAGTGTTGCTCTATGTACAGAATGTTGGGCTTCTAAGAAATAGCACATTAAAAGGAGGGAAGTTACGGAAATGCGCATGTTAAGATAGATGTACGGGAACACTCTAAGAAATAGAATCAGAAATGAGGTTATTTGCATGAAAGTGGGTGTCGCAGGCATTGCAGACAAACTAAGGGAAAATCATCAATGTTGGTTCGGGCATGTAAGACGAAGAACCAAGGGTGCACCGGTACGAAGAGTAGAAGAGTGGGACCATGGAGAGATTAAACGAGGGAGAGGGAGACCGAAAATGACTTGGCTGGAAGGAGTTAGGAAGATATGAAGCATTTGGTTTTGCATGAAAATGAGGTATTTGATCGCAAGGAATGGAGGAGGAAGATTATTGTGGATGACTAGACGGAATAATCACTTTCGGTTCATGTAGTCGACCCCACTTATGGGATTAAGGCTTTGATCGATTGCTTGATTTCTAAGAATAAGATATAGGTAATTGCTTGTTTACAAATAGAATTAACAGCATGTGATATTCCTTGGCATACATTCACATCCTAGAAGGAATAAGTTCAATAATGATACCAAAACAGAATCTATTAAGTCTTAAAAAGGTACTTTAGGTTATGATGATGATGCATTTGATAAAGGTTATGTACTTCAAAACATGTACCAATATCCCAATCATCAACCAGCTATATATTCATGTTTTTAACTCTTCACTAGTCATATTTGTCATTCAATAATCATAAGGACATTGCATACAAAGAATTGTTAATTGCAAAGGTTAAAAAAAAAATTTGCAAATGCATTAATACACTAAAGGAAGTTAGGAACTAATTAAAAAGGGATATGGAGGAAGAAAGAATGGTAAGAGAGAAAATCTCAATGTCAAAAACACAAAAACCTAAAAACCAATGCTCTCCAAAGTGATATCGGTGTAATATAAGATTCCCATGAAACTACAATAAATTAACTTATAGTATAATGCCATAACGTAAGTAAATAGATAAAGTTTGCCACATTGGCATTATACTTCTAATGCGATATTACATATTAGAGGGTACTAAATTATGGAGTACATATTATAATTGCATTCAAAACATCAAATTAGAGATTAAGAAATCAAACATCTTTATAGCAAGCACATAAGTCATGTAATTAAATAAAACATAAAAATCGCATGATTAAACACATACATTGAGATGATATTAAACATGATTGAATCTATGCTACTTGAACTCGAGTACCCATATCTGAAACAAGTACGTGTCCAAGCATACGACTCGGCTATTTTGTGCAAAAAAATCCATGATTTTGAACCGAAAGTGAAGTGTCCAAGTGTCATACCCATGTCCGAGTGTCAACACGAGTACGTGAGGTGAAATGAAGAGTCTGAGTAACATTGATTGAAATCATATGACAAAAGCTAACCATTAATTATTCCTAAATACCACAAACAAACAAACACTGAACTGAGAATGTCAATACACTTTGTGTGCACCATTAAAAATATACTCTAATTATTTCAAAGGTTACAAAGTTATAGTAGTTATTATACAAAATTTCAATAACAATATCTGCTAGGACTAAAACAATATACAGCCCAAAATGTCCACACAAAAAATTTATTCAAAATCTAACTTACTAATTAATGCTCTAAAGAATGAAATTTAGAAGAAGAAAAACAAAACCTACCCACAAAATAGGGTGTAATTTGCAGGATCAAAAAGGTTGTGGGAAGTGGTGGGTAGTAGTGCAGTATGGTGGTTTTAGGTGGAACACATAGCTGGAATAGAAGCAAAATAAAGAGGAGAGAACGGTGGTGATAGGAAGCGCCATTAAAATCTAGTTTCCAGTCGCAAGTATCTGGCAATTTCAGTGCAATCACAGGAGCCTGGAGGTGAAGACTTTTAGGTTTTGGGATTGAGGGAACTTATTGCGAAATTTTTCCATTGATCTAGCCTGCCAAGTAGAGGGTTTTTTTCAAAGCACCAGAATTTCTTGCTGCGGGGAGCCTATCAGCCAATGCAAATTACATCAGGTTAAGACTACGGGGGCGTTTGGTTCATAAATATCATCACAAACACTAAATATACAACAGAAATGGCCACAGAAGTTCCTGTTGAAATCAGCACCAAAGGAACTGTTGGTTCCCTCACAATGCAGCAGATAAATACTACTGTCAATCACATCAAGTAAGCTGCAGCATTGAAAGTGATCGATTGCTACTCCAAATTAGTGGTTTAATTCTCAAAAGAAGAAGAAACAAGGAGGAGGTAACAAGTTCTTATCAAACATGTGTTTAATGGTTGATGCTTCGAATAGCAAAAGGTTAAACTCCGCTGTTGGATTTAACTATAAAAACCTGTGGACTGACTGATCACTGATGGACAGTCCATGAATTTCTACTACATGAAGCTATGAAAATAATTCATGAACTTGGAAGAATCAAAGGCCATCAAGACTAAGCAGTCTATCGTTTGTTCATCTATCACAAAAACAACTAGTGCATGGAAAATGTAATGTATTTTCTTCTACCTATATTACCTTTATGTCCTTTTTTTGTTGTCGGACGGTTCCTTATGGCAATTCATGTTAGCCGACCCCAAATCGTTTTGTGACTAAAGCTTTGTTGTTGTATATTATACTTCCTCCATTTCGTTTTATGCATCAGTTCCTAAATAAGGAAGTTTCAAGTTTCAAATTAGATGCATAATTTTCCTTTTAGTTGATAAATTCTCCCTATCTCTCTCATATCACATGGGTCCTCTTTTTTCTCTTTCTATTTATCTCATCTTCCAAAACTACCTAGACGTCCATGTTTTTAAAAATGATGTATCTAAAACGAAACGAAGGAAGTAAATTTGATCAAAAGCACCACTAATTGAAATCCTCTTCAAACCCTAATTCAGTATTTCACCACAGCCATTAACACACATATCAATACATAGCAAAACATTACACAAAGCGATTTTTAGTTAAAAGTACCCATGTCGAACCCTGACACTTAGACATGGGTATGGACACCTTCAACATCTCAATTTTGATTAAAAGCATTGACATTTTTCCACAAAATAGCCGAGACTAACACTGGGACACATACCCATTGAAAATGATTTCTCAAGTCCGAGTTCATAGTATGCTCGAAAAATCACCAACTTATACCCTTTTAAGTTTCAATTACTACTACAATCCCTAGAAATGGACATAATTGCAAAATGTCCCCAATACATTACTCATAGAAAAGCAACAACCCAACAACAAACAATTCATTAAGAATTTCAATTTAATAGGACCCTAGGTCATCAAAGTAGTAGGGAATCTAAATCTTTCAGTATCAAATTAAGCATATAAAATCAAAAAAATAAGAAATTCAAACCCAAATTTCACAATTAATATCAATTAACAAATCATAAAATTAGCAAGAAAATAAAAATAGGAAGCAATTACCCAGAAAAAATAGTCAGCTACCAAAAAATCACGAGAAGATTTGGCGCCATAAATTGCAGTACTTTGAGAGCATTAAACCTGAGCCCCAACACCAATAATGGGTCCCACCTCGGCGGTGCTAATTGAGTTTAAAGTTGGGCTCACTTGGGTTATTGGATTTGCCCAGAAAATTAATCAACGAATTCAACTGACAAAAAATGGATCAGAGTTTGATCTGAAGCTCTTGGATTTGTTGATTGTAATTGACATGTAATTGAAGAAACTGAGGAGAGAGAAAGAGTGAAGTCTCCCGCCCTAAACTTTGGGCTATTCGATCTTGTGTATTGTGTACATTAGGCTCGAGTCGCTCGACCTTAACTACACTTCAACTCTTACCGGTTTTTTTTTTTCAGATCTGTAAGACTTAAGATAGTACTCGGTATGTTGTATGTAAATTTCTTACCAAGTGAGTCAACTAGTCAAGTCTTGATGTACTATTGAGCGGATGTATAAAGGAGATCTACGATTGTCGAGTAAATCTTTTATTGTGGAACATCTCCCGCTTATATCATTGGAAAATACAGTCTTGTTGGAGAGACAATCTAACGATCCATTGTAGCTGTGATGGTGTTTTCCTTCTGATTCATCTGATTGTATTCGAAAAATTGATAACTTTTGCGATCTCGCATAATTTCCCACCAACAAAATCTATTATCATGGATTTAATCCTAAGAATATTCTCCTCCAAAAAGAGGATATAAACCTTGCCTTTCGAAGGAAGTCGAAAAACACTGGTCTTTCGAAAGAGATCGGAAATTCGAGGGAGAAAAGTTCCTCACAAAAGGAGGAAGCATTATTTTAAACCTAGAAAAAACTTAAACAAGGATTGGGGCAATCCACCGATTAAAATCGATGAAAGCCCCTTCGAAATCAACATTGGAGGCTAGGGTTTAGGGGAGAGGAAGGAAGAAAGAGGAGAAAGGTAAGTGAGCTTCTTATCGTAAGTATAGGCCCATACCTGGTATAGTCCATACAAATTCCTTTTTTGTTTTTGTTTTTACTGTTATCATTGATAAATATACTGTTATCGTTGATTTTATATCGTTATTTTTTATTTTATACTGTTATTATTCCAGCGAGAATTTTGATGGAGAAATAGAGAAAAAAGAAAGAGCGTATTTTTATTATATTGTTATTTTCGATTTTATACTGTTTTCGCCCCTTGATAGTTGGTATGATCCACACTTGGTAGCGATCCATCATGCCTCTACTTCTAAAATAGACAATATATATGTTGTACAAGGGTAAATACTCTGTATAACCCTAGAGAAGGATGATGGTTTAAAAAAAAAAAAAAAAAAACCCTAGATAAACAAAAGATAATATTGATCCATCTTTCACAAATGAACTATAAAAATGAGACAATATTTAAAGGACGAATGAAGTATCAATAACATAATACTAAAAGTGAATCTGACATGACACTTGTCATGTTCTGATTAAAAAAATTCCCGCCACTTTCACTTTCCTTTTTTTTTATTTTTCAAATCTTCATGCATATTAAACAACATATACTACGTATATAAGGTAGTATTATAATAATAAACAACATATCTCGTGTCATGCACGCTTTTACTAAATTTTATAATTAATGAATTACATTGCAACAATTATGTACCAAAAAAAATATTACGAAGTATATTTTTTAAAAGAAACAAAATATCTAGAATTTTAATTTATACCCATGCCAAAGAGGTCAATATTATTGATGCAAAAGACTTAATAAATAAAATAAAATGAAAGAAATTTATGGACTATGAGGTTTTATATTAACCCTTATAAAAAATGAAAATTTTAGATTACCACCCATACGACGCACATACATGGATATGTCCTTCGTCCCTAATTTGTTAATATACTTTGTTCGACACAAATCACACAATGTATTATGCAAATTTATTCAATTTTATTTTACTTTGTGATAATTAATAAACGATATGATTGATACGTTTACTATGTATATATTTTCTTATATTAGTTTATTTAATAATAATAATAATAGCCTAAAAAGCATAATTAATGTGTTAGAACTTAGAAGGGGTGGAAGAGGGTGGAATGATGACATTTTGATCCCTCTTAATTATAAATAATACTTTGATAATAATAAAAATATGGGTTTACCCCCGAATAATGTGAGTATCTACTAATTGAGATATTATAGCTTAGCTATTGGCATATGCTCATAATGAATCACTCAATTGTTTTAATTAAGTAAGATTATGGGTCCCTTCAACAAAAAAAAAAGAAAATAAATCTGCCGGAGATTTATGGGTATATGTTAGATTATCATTCTTTGATTTTATGGGTACATTTTAGATCATCATGCATCAATCATAAGATTTAATGATTTATATCCATAGTTAATCACGCATAATATGTAGTAGAATCTTATGATTGATAATACTATGTAATAGAATCAATTACAATAAGAAATAAGCAACACATTATACACTAACCAAAATATTGCGTCAATCCTTTCTCAAAAAAAAAAAAAAAAATAAATAAATAAATAAATAATTGCATCAATCAAGATTTATATCCTAGTTAATCATACATATTATGTAATCGAATCTTATGATTGATAATATCATGTAATGGGATCATACATATATGATATAAGAATATAAGAATATAATAAAATATAATAATTAAATAAGGAAATAATGAAAGTGGCGGGAAAATAATTAATGATATTGTGACAAGTGTCATTTTAGGTGTGCTTTTAGTATAGGTTAATTGATATATCCTATAATATCTAACTTTCAATTTGGCAACTATATTCTAAGTATATTCTATATGCATTTAATGAAAATATTTTAACAAATCTTTCATATATTTCATAATAGGTATTTTCTATAATAAACAACATATACTACGTATATAAGGTAATATTATTAGAATAATGTAGTACTCCCATACACCGTATCATTCTACATCGTATTTTTTCATTTGAAGTTTTTTTGCTCCAACCATGATTAACAGTTTAACTTTTATTATATATTTGTTGATTTATTATAAAAATAACACTACAATTCAATAACTATAAGTATAAAATAAAAAATAAAAAAATCTTCGCTTGATTGTTAATTGTCACAAAAAATAAGTCACTTAAATTTGTATAAAACACTTGTGCAGGTCAAAGTATGCTATAAAATATTATGCCGGTCAAAACATGCCAACAAAATGGGGACATATGGAGTATATAAGTACATTACACGGGTTATAAATAACATAAAATTGTATTCTTATATAATAAAATCCTATAATCATGAAATTTGTGTTTTTTAAAATGTTTAACGATCAATACGAGTAACTTTTGATATCAATATAACATAAAATTCAAGTTAGTTATTTTAAAAAAAAAAATCAAGTATTTGTTTCAATTAAAAATATTGATTTTTTTAAAAAAAATATATTGTTAAATCAACATAGTAATTCATAATTAGGTTAATTAAGTAAAAACTGTGCGTTACACGGAACTTAAACTAGTATGTGACTAATGTAAGGGAATCACGAGAGATCCAAAATTTAAAACTCTTTAAGTTTATAATAAATGGATCGATGTATCTCCAAGCTTCATACGGAGTATTCATCTATACACCATATTTCTTTATTGAATTTGGACTCTTTTATAAATCAAAACAAAAATCGAATTTTGATTTTTGTATTGTTGAACTTTATTTAAACGAAGATTTTTATTATACAAGATTTCAATCCAATTTGGCATTAGGCATTTAAGATACTCCGCATATACAATACTTTCTTTGTAGATTTTAGGAATTGAATTCGGGTCAAATTTACATGTGAATATTTAAGTTTTATCGGATTTTAGGTTTATCATCAAACTAATAATTTTTCTAAACAATATAGTTAAAATACTAACGAAATGCCAAGTTAAACTGTCCAATATCCTGGCCAAAATATTAAAGTTGTGGCATGTGTGTTAATTTTTTATAGGAAAATGCTATACAAAGCTCTTAGTGCTACATATAAGGAGATAAAAATGGAAAAAAAAAATAAAAAAAAATGAATATGTAACATTAATTACACTGATTTGCGCATGATTTTTTCATGCATTCCTAAATTAATATCAAATTAGGAAAGATCTTAAATACTTATTCATAGCCCTAAGGGTTACATATAGCATTACCTTTTTTTGTATTCGAGTTGAGGATTAGCATTACCTTAATATCAAAATGAAACAAAATCTCAACAGCTTACAAAGCAAAAGCTTAAAGAACTAACCTGCTCAGGTGAATTTTCCCTTTTTTTTTTGTTGTTAGTTGTTCTTGTTCAGGTGCCTTGCTCTTAGTTTATATCTAGTTCTGATTACGGAGTTATTTCCAGCCTTCATTTCTTTTCATCTTTCGGATGATTTTGATGATAAAATTAAAGTATCATCCACTTTCTTTCCTCTATGGATAAACCCAGTGATGTTGTAGTTCGTTCCTCGGAGTTCAAGGAGCAAGGGAACTTCTTGTTCAAAGCTGGCAAGTTTAAACATGTCTTTTCCAAGTATGAGTTGGCTAGTAAATTGTTATGTTTTAATATGTCGTGTTCCATGGAAGCTTTTTCTTCATTTCGATCATTGGCTTTTGCTTTGCATCTTAATCTTGCGGTTTGCACTTTGAAGCATCTTGATTATTCAGTTGTTGTTAAGCTTTGTTCCTTCATGTTGGAGTTTGATTCCTATCATATTAAGGCTCTTTATAAGAGGGCTTCTGTGTATCAAGAATTGGGCAAGCTTCGTTCCGCTAGAAAGTATTTGGTTAAGGCTTCTAAAAGTGATCCTACTAATCCAGAGGTGTTAACAAAATTGCATTGTGTTGAAGGTTTGTTACAAGATGTGTCGTTAGTCGATCAAAAAATAAAGGGGTAAGATGGTCCAGTCAGTTATCCAGGTTGAGTCAACATCCTAAGTTCCCAATGACTGGGTCACTGGTTGTCAGGTAAAAGAGGATTGTTGTTTTGCGGAAGAGGCTGCTCCAATTGCTGTTTTTCAGTGTAGTGATTTAAGTTCAGCTGTTTCGGAGCCAGTAATATCACCTGGTTCATATATTGGTGACAAAGAATGTAATTTCCCACCACCAGTTTCAGAGAGTGTTGATATGGAATGTGATTCCCAATCAGATTCAGTTGGTAATGATAGGGATTGTAAGTCTTTCCCTCCTTCTCCTCAGGAAGCCGAAATCCCTCATATACACGAGTTTGTTTCTCGATATGGCTCGAGTTCAGTCCTTCGGCTTTCTTCTTCAAATTTACAGCAGGTTATGCATGGCAAGGCCATTCAGTTCTACCATTATACCTCTAAGTCGTTAATGTCAGTTCGGGTTCATCCCAGTAAAACTTCTGTCCGGACAGAGGTCCCCCAAGATTTAACTTCTAGGGAAGCAGAGACCTCTATTTCCACTTCAGTTAAGTTCCTTGGTGGATTGGAGCAACATGCGGTGTGCACTTTAGAATTCCTGTCAGCTTCCATTTCGCAGTCCACGAATGCTCCGGTTTTGCAGTCTTATCCGGAGAAGGTGATCACCTCTACTACAACAAAGGTCTCTCACGATGTGAAGTCAAGTGTAGCGATGTCCCCTACAATTACTTCACAAAAGGTATCCAGTGATGAGAAACGGCAAAAGGTGCCCATTCCAGAGTCTCAGCCAGTTCCCATTTTGTAGCAGTCCTTAGGTGCTCCTGTGACACACAACATTTCGAAGTGCATGACTGCCCTTTCTGACTTTGACAGTCATATGGGAGAGATGAATTCGCAGGAGTTTGTGGGAAAAGTTTGTGTTCCAGGTTTTCAGTTCTCCTCTTTGCATTTCAGAGCCAAGTCTTCGGGCCAACCACTTCGTCGTCAAAGTCTAATTATCATCCTCGGTTTAGGAAAATGAGTCCTTTGGTGGATCAACCTAGATCATCTGCAGGATGTCGAGTGGTTTGTGTGGGTGCAAAGCGTTGTCGTGAGCCTAGTGTGGACTTCAAGTACTCCAACTTGGCTGGAATAAAATTTGCTCACAAGTGTCTTTTTGGGTTTGCGTAGTGTAGTTTGTTGGTTGTCTTTATGTTCAGTATTTCTTTATTAGTATTCATTGTCAAAAAAAAAAAAAAAAAAAAAAAAATCCTGTCAATAAATAAATAAATAAATAAAAGACAAAAATTAAAAATTTGTCAGTGTGAAATCTGTGAACGTGTACTTTGTTCTTGTTTGCTCAACTAAATTTTGAGGATGTGCTTATGAATTCCAATATCAGAAATAAATGCTGTATTAACTGGAGTAATAATCATGTGACTCATGAATCTCTGTATTCCCGGGCTACTATGGACCAACATACTACATGAGCTTTATATTATTGCATTTGTCCAATAATAAGATTAATGCAATCAAGAATAGTGCTTTCCATTATTAATTACGGAGTAATAGTCTTCTAAACTTATCGATCTTGTTCAATTATACTAACTCTGAGTATACGCCTATACGTTGTATAAATTATAAGATTTTGACAACGATGTATAAAATTGTTAAACTAACTTTGACACTAGTCTTTGTAAGTAAACTATCTCATAGACTTATAGTGAGAGCGCCAAAATCATTTTCTTACGTTTTCGTACCTTATCGTATAAGAGGATCACGCAAACAAAACAAACAGAGTAACCTTTATGTTTGTAGTCACAGAGAGCACCCAACTCACTGTACTACATAACAAATATAAATAGGGTCCCAAGTTATAAAAACACCAAGGGAAGTTAATGCAAATTGATATAATGACTTGATATTTACATATACCTGCAAGCACAAGATTATGATGACCACAACACCCATGTTAGTTCAAAGGCTCCAGCTATTAAAGAGTCCCATAACAATAACCTCTAGATAAAGAACAACCATGAGGCAAGATGTTCATGCAACAACAAATCGTCGAGTATAAGACCGGATAACAGAACCCCTAGACCATAAACAACCAACCTGCCTAAGAAGTCTAAACTTCACACCCCCAAAATATCATCACAAACACTAAATATACGGCAGAAATGGCCACAGGAGTTCCTGTTGAAATCGGCACCAAAGGAACTGTTGGCTCCCTCATAATGCAGGAGATAAAATACTACTGTCAATCAGATCAGGTAAGCTGCAGCAGAGATACTGCTCGAGATTCCAACTCCAAATTAGCGGTTATTTCTCAAAAGAAGAAGAAACAAGGAGGAAGCAAGTTCTTCTTATCAAACATGTGTTCAATGGTTGATGTTTCGAATAGCAAAAGGTTAAACTCAGCTGTTGGGATTAACTACAAAAACCTGAGGACTAACTGATGGAGAGTCCATAGGTTTCTACTACATGAAGCTCTGAGAGAGTTTCGAAAAATTAAGCTTCTTCAGTCTATTGCTTATGGAACCCCCTGGGTTCCCACAGTGTATGTCCACTATATCAACAATAGTAGATCCTTTCTTTGTGGGTTTATCCCGTATAGGAGTTTTATCCAGATGGATGTTTTCTGAGCCAAGCATAGGGATATGATAGCTACGTTTGCGGCTCCGTGTTTTGCCTGATGGATCTAGGCTTCTTTTACTGGTTCCCTGGCTAACAGTGCTATTCTTTCCCACATCTTCGAATGGTGTCTTTTGTTTTGGTCGTCTAGGAGTAGTTGTGCTAAGATTTTGAACTTTTGTTTTCCTGAAAGCTTCAGGGCTTTTATGCTTAATACTGGAGGGAGTGCTGATGCTGCTACTGCTGCTACTGCTGCTTGCTTCACTCATCAACTTGCGTGGCTTCAGAGGGCCATTACCACGAACAGCAGGAACTGAGGTACGCGGTGATGAAGATTCAATTTCCCTCGTCATCAAAGAACCAATTGTTCCGATGGTGCCTACCTTGACAGAACCTCCACCACCTCTGATTGCTTCAAGTGTAGGAGCCATGATTACCTCCTGCAGAACTAAAAGAAGTGCTACCAATCCTCGCCTTTTAATCTAGTTTTGGAATGACATCAAACTAGACAATCAACATCTGCAACAACCTGTGAATCCATATTAAATGTCAAATGTGCATGTACTTTGTACATATGTAGCATAGGTCCAGTATCTTATTATTATAATGTAAATGTTAAACCTTCCAAAGTTTCAAATACATATCAATATTGTATCCTTGCATATGGCAGCCAGTATGAATTCATGTGAAACAAAAACAAAATCACAATTACTCACTGGAGCAATGCTCCTAAATCATCAACATGTCGCGACTCGTGGAACTCCACTCCACTTTCTTTGGAGCAACATGGATGAAGTAATTCTAAGATTAAATGCATCTCATCATTCTCAAGATACAGATACACTAAAGCCCAATTATCTAGCCAAATCGCAAATTTCATGACAAAACATTATCAATTCAACATTGAATAGTAAGAATCAGCACCTAGATACATCATATAACAAGCTGATACAGCTTATACTCCCAAATTACAGCAGCATGCTACTAATAAATTCAAGGCAAAATTGTCAATTTCTTGACAGGTCAAAAGAAAGAGAAAAAAAAATCAAAAAACCCAACTTCAAATAGCCTCTATTTCAACCAATCAGCTCCTAACATTAAGGTAAAACATTTGATTAACAAAAATGATAGTAATGATTAGTAACAAGAAAACAAGGGAAATAAAAAAAAAAGATATGGTTTTTTTTCCTTTTTCTAGTCAAAATTAATCAAAATTAATGATGACAATTACACTTTTTTAGATAATAATGCTAATATCAAACAAATACCCATCAACATACTTGATTAAAAACCCAAAAATTACACATTCATTACAATAAAATCAGCCAAAATTTGCACTAAATATATAGCTCTAAGAACCCTTAAAACAGCAAACCCAGAAACAAGGAATTTATCAGAAAATGAGATCTAAATAACCCAATACAAAGCTAAACTTAGAAAAATCATATTATAGAAAGATAAAATAAAGTATAAGGGACTTACCCATTACCCAATGATTTATTTGCCCAGAAACTTCAATTTTTTGCTCAGAAGATCTTGAACTTGTCCTTATATGGAAGAAGGGTACCCACGAAATACAATAATAATAAAATAAAAATAAAAATAAACACCCAAAATCACAAGACCTTTTTTTAAAAAAAATGGCTGCTTTTTGGGTTTAATTTAATTAATTATTACTCCGTATAATGGTACTTACTTTAGGAAAGGGTGATTAATTGATTATGTTATAAAGAATAATGTAAGAAAGCATAGATTAAAATTGAAAATTAAATTAAGTAGGAGTTTAATTTAAGGTGGTCGGAATAGCCAAAGTAAAGGCCAGCAAAAGGCAGAATTTATGGGGGTTATGAAGGTGGGGAAGAAGATCTGACATTATTAGAAGAAGAAAAAAGTTGTGTCAATGTAATTTTACAAAAAGTTGTGTCAATGTCGTGGGATACACATGCACTGTTGGCCCTACCTTCCTCCGCGCCAAAGTGGTGAATTGGTGATCATTAATCCTCTAATGATTCTTGCATATTGCTTTTTGTAGTTTCGTGTTTGTTTGTTCGGATTTAGTTGTCACGTTACATGTTGTAAGATAGTAGGATGAATGTTGATTTAAATAAAAATTATTTTTTACAAGAAAATTGATAGGTTGGGGTTCAAAAGAGGATTTTTTATATATATAAAGTAGTATTGTTGGTAAGATAGAGAAATAAATAAAATAAAAAATAAATAAATAAAAAGTAGTTTAAGTGAGGTAGTTAGGAAAGAGAAGTGGGATAATGGGAGAGAGAAATTATAAAATAATAGTGGGTCCTTTTCTAATATAAAAGTGTTGCAATTAATATGAAACGGATATAAGAGCAAACACAATAGTTGCCCACAACTATTAGTTATTTTATTAATTTCTCCATCTTCTACCTCACCTATAACTACTCTTATACCCATTTAATAACCAATGTATCCCAATAGTTAACCACAATTTTTTGGTTATACATTTTCTCTCTCCTACTTTTACCTAACCTCACCACACAATCTCTCTCTAAAATCTTATCATATATAACTAATGCACTTGGTAATAATCAATCAAAACTAATAATTATTTATTAGCATACATTAATTAGATAAAATGACTTATGTTTAAAAATAATGCATTTTGAGATTTGATTAGTAGGTAATTATTCGTTAGTTAATAAATAAACAATAATTGCAACTAGACTAAATTCCATAATAATAAAAATATTACATATTCTATAAAATGACAACGGTCTTTGAAAGATAACAACAAACCGTGATTAAGTACAAACACAATAGTTTAATGTTACGATTACACATCTCTACACAATTTGATTTACAAGAGAGTAATATTCACTTTCATAAAAATTGTTTCAAAATACCTCAATATTGGGCTCATTTTATAGAGGAAAATAAAATAGAGTCGTTGGTATTTATTTTTTATTTTTATTTTTTAGAATTGTATTTTAAAAATTATGGTCGTTACAAAAATTACAACGGTTATAAATTCAGAGTAAATCTCAGCCGTTGATCACATAAATAAGTGTCACATTTTCCTTATGCCACAAGGACAAAAATTAAAACCAAAAAGTGGGTATTTTTTTATCAATAACCCCCCTTCATAGCTGCTTACAACAATAACCTAGTTACAAGAATTTTACCCCAAAATTTTCTCTCTCCTCAATTTTTAATTATTTTCCTACTTTCTCTCTCTCAATAACCATGCATAATGGTAATCCGCTATGTATGCTCTAAAAGGAAAGTGTTGCGATTAATACGAGACGGAAGGAGTAGATAAGTATGTACTCCCTCCGTTTTATTTTTATTAAGTGCCCCACTTCCCATAAACAACCGTTTTTTTAAGTGCCCCATTAGCCCATTACCAAAAGTGGAAACCTCACTTACGTTATGTATTATTTCTCTCTCTTTCTTTTAACCACACTATTATTTTATGATATTTTCTCTCTGATCCAATTCATAATTTTTCTCTCTTACTTTTCCAAATTTTTTATTCCTAACCATATTCACTTATATACTATTTTATTCTTTTACCTAAAACTTTAAATGCCCAAGGATATGGGGCACTTAAAAAAGACAGAGGAAGTAGCTTCTTCATTTACATTGATCGATAGTTGTATATGAGAGCTAAATACAAGTTTCTCAACATGAGAAACATTCCAACCATCTCAAGAGGGTATAATGGGTGTTTCCCTCAATAAATTAGGGATATAATTGTCAATTCACATTAACCACTCCAAACTATGTTACTAGACCCACCTTTCACTATCCTCAACAATGGAGGTTGAGGAATCTGGAATCCTCAAATTCTGCAACAATTCACTTCAATTACAGGAGATTCCATGGTGGAAGACGAATAAAATTATGTGGAACAATGAAATAGAATCTGTAAGCTTGCGAGAAGCTTCATCGGAGGAAGAAAAGCTCACACGAAAATGAAAAACACCTACCTTTAGGGTCAACCATACCCCTTAATTTTTATTTTTATCTTAGGGTTTTCGTTGAAAATCCATGGTTGTATTGGGGTTAGGGTTTGTTGTGATGTTGGGTGTTGTAGGTGAAGAGTTTGCTATTGTTGTTGAGAAAGGAAGAGGAGGAAGAACAAGGAAGCAGGGTAGAAGAAGGTTAAGGTGGGTTGAAAGAGGAGGAAGAAGGAGACGGAAACTAAACGACGTTAATTGCCTTCTTGTAACAAGTCAGCAACAAAAAGTTTAAAATATGGATATTTATGCTTTTATTTTCAATTTTACCATTAGACAAGCACAAAACATTTCTCATGTTGAGAAACTAGAGCTTGCCCGTCTATGAGTTTTTTTTTTTTTTTTTTTTTTTTTTTTTTTTTTTTTTGTGTGTGTGTGTGTTTGTGTGTGTGTGTGAGAGAGAGAAGAATCCATTTTTTGAATGAATTTTTCTTTTATTTAGGGTACTAAACCACGCTCGCTTTTCACTGGGTAATGTTAGTATTTTTATATAAACAAACTTATTTACCCTTCCCTTAAATAACCCTTTCAACCCTCAAAACACTTTTACTTCTCTGTATTCACCTCTAGATTTTGAATTTCAACCACCACTTTTACTTTCCCATATCAATTCAACCACCACACAATTCTACCACCACCAAGCAAAGCCACTTTGCAAAATTCAACCAAACTACAATCGTGGAGGCACCAAGGAAGGATGTCAGGAAATCGAAAAGGCAAGAGGATTGACGCCGGCAGCAAATTATTTTTGTTTCGCTACGAGAAACGACTTGAGGTCTTGGAAATCCAGACAAGGAACGCCTGGGATTTTCTGATCCACGGGAGAACATCCAAAAATTCCAGGCGCTCCTTAGAAACGCCTGGAACTTTCGAATGTTTGGCCAAGGATCTGAAAATCGTAGGTGCCCTTAATTTAAAAGAGTCAATTTAAAAACTCGAGAAAATACAAGTTAATCATCTTGACTAAACATTAGGGGCCGTTTGGTTGGGGTTAATAATCAAAGGGAAAGGGAATGAACATGGCTCATTCCCTTTGTTGCTGATTGTTTGTCATTTTTTTCATTCCCTTTACCCATTTTTATTTTTGAGTTTACCCAAAATCCTTCAACATTGATTCCCCACCCCCCTAGACTCTTGCATTCCCTTTCCCGAGCCACCACTACACCACCATATCCACAACAACCACTACCTTACCCGGTTACCCCCACTGCCCAGCCACCTCGCCGGAACTCGCCGCACCTCCCCCTCTCCTCGCCGGAACCCGTTGCACCTCCCCCTCTCCTCGCCGAAACCCGTCGCACCTCCCCCTCCCCTCCATGAAAAACCTTCCCCCGCCCACGCAAACCCTAGAAAATCATCCTCCTACCTAAGCCATGACACAAGCCAGCCCACGCAAACCCATCCTCTCCGCCGCCCAAGATTCCGACATAAGCCACGAGGAGCAGCAAGTTTGCGATTTCCGACACAAGCCACGACGGCCGACGGTTTTCAGGGGGCGGCGAGGGGTGGGGGATGTGCGAATATGGGCGGTGAGGGGGTGGAGGATGTGCGAATATGGGCGGCGAGGGGTAGAGGATGTGCGAATACGGGCGGCGGAGGGTGGGGGAGGCGCGAATACGGGCGGCGAGTTTCAGTGAGGTGGTGGCTGGGCGGTGGAGTGGCTGGAAAAGTGGGGAAGAGGGGTTGTGTGGTGGTGGTGGTGATTCCCTTTGTTTTGTAAAACAAACAACATACTACATAAAAAGGGTTTCATTCCATTCTCTTTCATTCCCTTTGTTCATTCCATTCCGATTATCCTGTGCAAACCAAACGACCCCTTATATTATTAGTGTTTGCAAAAAAAAAAAAATCTTGATAAATATTAATCTATAGTTGTTTATCCAATGACAAGCTAGCTTGTAAATGAATGTCTAAATTTTCATTGTTCATGGATGAAACTAAAGTCAACCGTTATTTATATCCTATATTAACAAATTTGTGTTTATATCCTTAAATATCTAACACAGAGTGAGCAAATTTCGTTAAAATATTATCATAGCTTCCCATTGGTGATGACGCAGACTTACATTGTCATCATTACTCCGTCAAATAACATTTGTAAATGCTCCAAAGAGAAACCTACCTTCAATCTCCCTTTGACAATGGAGGAATGAAGCCAAAAAGAGATGAAGAACCACCTCTCTCCCTTTGACAATGGAGAAACGAAGACCCGAAACCTTTTGACAATGAAGGAACAAAGCCAAAAAGCAAAGATGCCGAAGACCTACCTTTCTCCTTCACAAGCATAAACTTCAAATGTCACGCTCATCATCCCGACCCGTCCCCATACTCAAACAACAAGATGGCAGTCTCAAACCTTACCATTTTCGACGACTATTAAACAAAAACTCTAAGAAAAATAGAGAAATTAAGGATATATTTAACACCAAAGGGTAGGTGTTTCACTCCTCCATTGTTTCCTCTATTAAAGATGAGCTTTTACTTCTTCTCCATTGAAGATGAGCTTTCAATCTCCATTGAATGACAACCACAAGAGTTAACTTTGTCGATCGATCTCTAAGTTATTTAATCGTTTACAAGCTTAATTATTGAAGTGACAGTGCTACCCCTAGTTTACAACAAAAAATGACGTAGATACCCTTATATAAACAAGTTTTGTTAATATAGGATATGAATTTGTATTTTCTTGTAAAACTATTAACACCGGTTATAAGTGGAATAACATTTTGCCCTAAATTATGCCAATTTTGCCCCTTGATAAATCAGATGAGAAACTCAAGGTAGGGTTGAGCAAATTTATCCAAAAACCGAAAATTCTAAAACTCGATTCGTAACTGATCCAAAAATTAGGGTATCCAATTCGATAATTTGTTATCGAATATGGTTATTGAATATCATTTTAAAAATAACAGTTAC